ACACACACACACACACACACACACACACACACACACACACACACACACACAACACACACATATATACACTCACACACACAAAAACATACACTTACACACTCAGGAACGCACACACATGCACTCACACTTACTCTCATATTAAGTAATTACACACATTATATTTGAACACTCTAACATGAAAAATTCTTGAAAATGCCTACCAAACTCAAATATTGTAGTTGCGTTTCTTTTCAATTTCTGATTATTTTTTTACACGGCCTCGAATATTTTTCCTCTCTGGCCAATGCAGATACCTGTAAGAGTGAGGTCTTTCTTGATGTGACCCAAATTGTATCTTTTTTATGTAAGGCGTTTCACAAAATTTATGTAATTTACCATTTTTACACTCCATCGATACAATGTAGATCGTCTAGGAGGTGGGCTTTGACCCTGCATGTCATGGCTAGCTTGTGCTGAGAGGGATACAACATCCCAGCAGAAAGGCCAAGATAAAAGTAGTTCCCGCATCCGATCCGGACTTTGGGGATTGCCTTGTTAGTGAGACGACTTTCTGGTCCTTCGACATAATGTGGAAGGGTGGCCAATTCCTTTCCACGCCGCCTTTACTTCCCCAACTAGAAGTCAGGTACCCATTACTGCTGGGTGGGCAGGAGGGGGTGAAAAAATCTGTGTCCAAACCGAGGCTCGAACCGGGACTTTCCGCTTCGGTTTCCCTTAATACTCGATCAAAATTGTTCTCTCTTGGGAATCAAACTCAGGTCTTCTGCATGAAGTGGCAAAGTGCCTAACCTGTACACCACAGATACTCTGGTCTATTTAACTTCTAAACAAAGTGATAAAAAAAACCCCCAAACAACACTGACATGACAGCCACTGATGCATCTTCACCTTTTTTGGGCACCCCAAATTTATGATTTTATTGAAGATGTTGTAATATTTTTTCTCAGCTCAAGAATTCTTTTTGTGCCGAGCAAGGAAGAACATCTTCAACTTCACTAAGGAGGCTCCAGTAAACTGGTTGCAAACAAAAAGAGGCTCCCATCTGAATGAGAACTGCTATAAGACAACCTATGCTGATTCCATTGACCCTGCTTCCATTCTTATGCAGGTATTCTTTTCTTTGCGTTTTTTTGTAGAAGATGTTGCAGAGTGAACAATTTTCTGCCCTGGTAGAATATCATATGGACTTTTTCCGTTCATGAGAAAAGTGCTTTACACGTTTTTTTTTCCTTGGTGTCTCATTTTTGCATTAGTGGGGTTCTTGCTTGTCCCTTTTAGTTTTAGTAGAGGTTTCACAGTGCTTACAACTGCATAACGTCATATGAGCGCCAGAAGATTAGAGCTGCTACAAGAAAGTAACAAAGATAAAAAAGAAGAAGGGGAGATAAGGACGATAGATGTTTGATAGGAAAGAAGAAGCAAACCACATCAGAGCACCTGCCAACCACCCACGCTTGTCCCTTCAACTAAACCTGCTGCAGCTGGTCTTACAATCAAGATCTATGAAAAAGTATTGTTTGCTCATAATCATATTCACTTTGCTCTTTGGAAACTAGGATAGATTCTGACTCAGTAGGCTATATTATCATGTAAGTCTTGAAGAAATTTTCATTCATTGCCTCTCCTGCGATCATTAAATCTGTGCATTAACTTTTGGTTACTTGTGGACCTGCTGAAGGAGAGTATTTCCTCTTCTCCAGAGCACCTGCCAACCGCTCACTAGAGTAATCGATATATTACTCATAGAACAGAAATTGAAATGGGCAAACAATGATGTGTCAAAAAGAAAGTTGCGTCTTTCATATATAAAAACAGAAATAAATAGGTATAAAATTATGAAATGAAGAAAAAAACCCAACTAAAAACATACCAGCCAAAACAACAACCCCCCCCCCCCCCAAAGAAAACAAACAAACAACGAAAACATATTTCTGCTCAGAGGTGAAGCTTTGAATTTAGCTATGCCCCAACATAATATGTTATTAAAGGATTTCTAAAGGGGGGGGGGGGTAGTGAAGGGAATGTAGCCTTCTGCTGCACTTCCTTTGAAACCGTAACCGAGTTGAAAGTTACAAAGTAAAGTACAAAGGGGATAAGTCATGGAGTATTACTAGCAACTTTGAAGTTCTTTTTAGAGTGGGCAGGTGGGTTGCTCTGTTTTCCTGTCAGTCCAGTGTTTTTTCCCCCCATCTTTTTGGATAGCTCTGATTGTATTTTTTTTTTTACCCTTAGATGATCTTCGTTGAAATGCGTTTATAAGCTGTGTGATCTTTTCTACTCCTTTTCTCAGGTGAACATGGAGAAGAAGAGTCGTCTAACTCATTTCTTGCCACCAGAAGAGAAGCTAGCCATTTGTCATCTACTCAAACAAGTTGAAGACGTAGAGGGAGGGAAGATAAGCGTGGATGATGTGGATGATGATGGTATCTCTCTTTGTGATTATGTTAACTGATTATTTGTACAGAGTAAATTAGCTAATATTGATACACTGAACACTATATTTTCTTTATCCCAGGAAGGTAATTTAAAGTGAGATTCCCTTGTCAGAGAGTATTTTTTTAAAAGACCGAAATAATGCCTGAATTCAAATTGTTGTTGCACTTGAGGCATTAAGTTTAGGGCTACAATTTGAAATGGAGTCTATTATCATTTTATTGTAGCATTAATTCATAGAAATGTTCTCCTCGGCATTGGCCATTGTCAGACATCAACGGGCAAACTTTTAATATTATGATTATTATGATGATGATGATGATGACGATGATGATGATAATGATGATGATGGCGATTATTATTATCATTATTTGTATTATTTGTATTATTTTTATTATTTTTATTATTTGTATTATTGTTTAAAACTCATACTCTTTTTGTGCCTGCTGTACCAGTACCGTTTTTTCCCCTCCCCACCTCTGTTGTAGTTGCCGAAGTGGTGCAGATTGAGGAGCCACCTCCTAAAAAACCGAAGATTGTGAAATCCGCTTCACAGAAGCTCCGTGAAAAAGGTAATACATGCGGGATTTTGTCTCTTAGCAAAAATTGTACACATATTTTGTCAATGTCTGTTTTGTCTCTTAGCAAAAATTATACGCACAATTTGTCAATGTCTGTTTTTAGAATTGACTAGTCCTGTGTCTTTTCAAATGTATGGCTGACCTCTTAATGCATTTGGTTGTGAACTTGGTAAAAATGTGAAAGTTAAGTGTTTGATTGAGTGGGACACATTTTTTCTTGTTACTCCAAGAACACTGTTCTAGTTAGTCAGGAGGTTTTGATGGTTGTAGTGGTTGGTTGATGGGTGCTCTGGTGTGTTTTGCTCCATCTTTCCTATCAAATGTCTATCCTCCTTTTCTTCCCTCCTCCTTTTCTTTTTATGTTACTTTCTGGTAACACCTCTTATCCTTGGCACTGTTAACTTTTTTATTACAGCTGTGATTTCCCCTGTGAACTTTTAAAATTACGGTTATGATTTCCTTTGTGAACTTTTAAAATTACGGTTATGATTTCCTTTGTGAACTTTTTAAATTACGGTTATGATTTCCTCTGTGAACTTTTAAAATTACGGCTATGATTTCCTCTGTGAACTTTTAAAATTACGGCTATGATTTCCTCTGTGAACTTTTAAAATTACGGCTATGATTTCCTCTGTGAACTTTTAAAATTACAGCTATGATTTCCTCTGTGCACTTTTAAAATTACGGCTATGATTTCCTCTGTGAACTTTTCCATTACAGCTGTGAAACAAGCATTAAAAAAGAAAACCTCAGGGGCAAAAGCAGAGAAACCAAAACAGAAAAGAGCTGCCAAGAAAAAAGGTGTGAATTTCTCTTATTAATCATGTTATTTTCACCTTTGATATTGACATTAAGTAAGTGGGGGGGGGGGGGGGGGGGGAGGGGGGGTTGGAAAAAGTTCAATATACAAGGTTTGGTCAAACTTCATCATCATTGCCTTTCTCATCCTGCATCAGGGTATAGGCAACGGACAAACACCCCCCCCTTTTCTCTATCCTGGGCTAGCCTCTTGATGTTATTCCATGTCTTGTTGGTCAAACTTGTGTTTACCTTATTATGTTTATTATGAAGAAGAAAACTTGGTTTTTTATTTAAAACAAAGAAACAGATTGAGTAAAAAAAAAATTGACTTCAATTACTAACAGGCAAAATATTGTTAATCTCTTTTACTCATACATTATTTTTTATTTAGTGTATTGAGTTAAGAAAATATGTTTGTTTTTTTAGGGGAGGGGGGGGGGGGGTTGTAGCCTCAAGTCACACCAGCAAACTGTACAACCTTTTAAGTTTGAAAACTGACAAGTCATAGTCGCTTGCTTGTGTCTTTGGTGTAACGGTTCGGCCCTTCCTTGTCTCATGCAGGAGACCTGGATTCCCAAGTGAGGGAGATTTTTACTGAGTATTTTGTTCTTTCTGCAGGGATGTTGTATCCCTCTCAGCTCGGGCAAAACCTTGGGGTTGACACCCACCTCCTAAATGATCCAAGTTGTGTCAGTGGGGCGTAAAAACACCTATATTTTAACCCTTCCAGCCCCAGCCATTTCTGTACACTCCCTAACCCCATTCCCAGCCAATACTACAGTATTTCAGAAAAAGAGGCATGCATTCTAAAAAATGATTCAGTATCTTTGTACTGAGGTTTAGATGATAACATGTAGCAATGTATAAAAATAAAAGAACAAATATTATGAACATTAAAGTTTAATTAGGTTCGTTAATTTCGAAAAATGCAAAAAATTCGGTATCCCCCGAAACTGAAAATATACACTCTTGGGTTGGTAGGAAGTACAAGCACTGCTGAAAATATACGCGCATGGGGCTGGAAGGGTTAAAAGAATATAATGCCCTTGACAATATCTATCCTTGTGCTAAGAATGCAGGCTCTTCGTTTTTTCCTCTCTGTTAGAAATGCTTGTTTTTTTTTCCAGGTGAAGCAGAGCCGAAGAGAAAGAAAGCTGTGAAAAAAGTGAATGAGCTTGAACTTCACCCACGACCTGATATTAAAGTGTTGGACAAAGACCCTCTGTTTGAAACTGAGTATGTGATTATTCAGTTATGTTCACTAGAGATGTCATTGTTCTTCTATTTGCTTGCTGTACCATTTCTATGATTAGAATGTCATGGAATGTACCATATAAGTTCACATGCATATAATGTATAAGTGATGAAATGTGGCTATCATTGTGGATTTAGAATAGACTACCTAAACCTACAACCTTTCAATTCAATACAGTGAGTGCTATCAAGAAGAATACTTGATGACACGGTTAATTGACTTGACAAACTTCCTTGAGGATGTGCCCTTAATTAGATTTTTAGTTCATAGCATAGTTCTGAGAATCTTTATGAGTGCTTCAATCATATTTTTATTATTCAACATTTTTATTAAAAGAAAAGATATCAATGTGAATTCCCGCTATCTGGGTTTTTTATTCTCCGCATGAATGCAAAAGTAGTTTTTTTATTATATGAATTTATTGTCCCTTTTTTCTTGCTGCAGAGTGATTGCTCTCTTTCGATATTATTTCATAAAGAAAGAGTAAACTTGATTTTGTATTGTGTTGAAGCAATGTAGGCCTATATATTTTTTTTTCAGCTTTGTTAGTCTCCATAATCATTTTATTCAAAGTTCTACCACTCTATATGACAGAAGATAACTTTCTTGAGTTTTCTTTTTTCAGTGCAAACATGCCGTATGTATCAAAGAGAGCAAACTCTCGGCTTGTTTTCCGAGCCATTTATCTGAAGGACAACAAGATGTTGGGGAAGCTCCTGAAGGACGGAAATCGGATGAGAGATGTGAGTGAGCTTTTTGTCTTGGATTGACAAGTATTTCATATCATGCTTGAACTTTAAAGTTGAAGGTTTTGGGGGAATCTTTCCTTCTTCTAAATTGTCAAAACAATTTTCTTACTGAAGTTGCAGGAACTTATCAACTTGATACCAGAAACTTTTGTCTGTTCAGGTGATGAAGAAAATGAAGGAAAAGCTCCTCATCAAATAATTTATCCTTTATTATGCAAACATTAGTCTTTTACTAGCTTCTTGATGCTTTACTTAATGAGGACAAAAACTGATAGAATGATTAGGGTTAAAATGTGGAGCAAGGAACTATAGAGGCAGCCTCTGTGTGTGCATGTGTCTGTGTGTCTGTGTGTGTGTGTGTCTGTGTGTGTGTGTGTGTGTGTGTGTGTGTGTGTGTGTGTGTGTGTGTGTGTTTGTGTGTGTGGGTGTATGTGAGTGTATGTGTGCGTGCATGCATATTCTGTATGTGTGTGATTCCACATCATCATTGTCATTATCGTCAATGTCACGACCACTGTTGTCATAATTAGCACCACCATCATCATTATTGTCATCATCTCTATGACTTGACAAAATGTTTCAAAAGTGTTCAAATAATCTAAGCCAATGAAACATTTCTAAGGTACAAGAGCCCCCGGGGCGGTGCCACTGACTGAAGTGTCTTTAGGCCATTCCCAAAGGTGGGACATTTCTCGTTCATGCACAGTATAATTGTAAATGGGCTGATTCATCAATGTCACGCTCATAACTGTGCCTGATCTACAACAGGGAACTGCTGCTTTTTCTTTCCTAATCCTTACTGTTGTCATTTTTCCTCTACTTCTTTTGTATGTTTGTCACACTCTTGTAACCCGCTATTTCCGGGGTGCCTTGAAAGTCGAAACAGACTTTGTGCTGTTGAAGCTACAGAGGTGAGCAGAGTAAGCCTGATTCCCTGTAAAGACTTCTCTGTTAACATCCACCCCTTGGCACTCATATGACCTTGTGCAGTTGCGAGTGCCGTAAAACCTCTACTAAATAAAATAAAATAAGGTACAAGTAAATTTCCTGTCTCGTTTTGACAGCTTTTGTACAAGTCCCTCGACAACGACGACTCACCTATGAAGGCAGCTGTGGAAGTTGGAGATGCTGCCGTCTTCAAGACTCTGCTTCATGAATACTCAGGAGACAAATATGAGTCAAGGTTGAAAGACAATGACTACGAGACAAACATGCTGGAAAAGCTGGATAACGGCAGGTAAGATCTTACATAAGAGGCAGTGTGAAGTTGGACTGGAAGTAATATTGATAATATGAGATATGATGATGAATGATGAAGATCATTTCTATACCGCCCACTCCCGTGTAAACACAGCTCTAGGCGCTTTACTTAAATTCATGTACGAACAATATTCACGCATGCGACACACACATGCACGTACACACTCATACACACACACAAACACACACACATACACAAACAAACACACACACACACACACACTCACGCACACATTTCACGCACACATGTGCACACACATGTATGCCAAACGCATACACACACACACACACACACACACACACACACACACACACACACACACACACTCACACACACACACACACACACACACACACATGTACTTGCTTATCACACGCGCACGCTTACACATCGACACGAAATGAGCACATATATAATAAAATAATATACTCAATGCAATTCACTAAATACATAAATGGATACATAGTCATTTACTTAACATTGTACTGAGCATGAATCTACTTACATAAAAATGATGATATTCATATTAGTGCATTTTCACTTGGAAAGTGCTCATTGCACAAGTACAATGTGTGGCTGGCCAGGAAGACAATTCTGTATTCTGTTTGACCTAAAATATACAGGATATGGCATCTGTGATAGGTTTGGAATGTGATTTGAATAAAGTTTAACTTTTTTTTTTCGGCAGGGTTTAGGAGCATAGTCACAAAAATGTAATCTTTAGAGTTCTGAAAGTTGAAAATCTGAACACTGGACTTTTGGGTTGCTGAACAATTGCACCCCAACCATGCCACTTATAGTTTCTATGATTCTTTTGTCTTAAATTTATTGATGAAACTTGAAACATTCCACACGATGGGAAAGTGTTATACTGTTGAACCTGCTTTAATAATAATTAAAAACAGCATCTGTATAGCGCATATCCCCGCTCAACAGCAGGCTCTATGCGCTTAACACTATATTATTACCCCAGCAGACCATAGAACACTCGGAAACATTCTCAGCGTCCCGGGAAGCATACAGTGCAAGCAGCTGATTTAGCGCTCAAACACTAACAAACTGACACGATCTTTTGCTGTCTATACCCATTCCCACCTGGGTGAAGTGAGGAAAATTCGTGTAAAGTGCCTTGCCCCAAAGACACGGGCCCCTGACGGGATTCGAATCCACGACCTTACGATTGCGAGTCCGAGAGCCTAACCACTAGGCCACTGACGCCATGAATATCACCTGCACAAAGGACCTTTTCCCACTTCCTTTTTTTTCTGTTTCATAAGGACACAGTCTAAGATGTCCACCTGGTTAGTTTTTTGTTTTAGTAAGAGTTTTACGGCACTTGCAACACAATAAGGTCATATAAGTGCCGAAGATTAGAGGTGTTACAAGAGAGTAACGAACACAAAAATAAAAAGAAAGAGGAGAGATAAGGATGATAAATGTTTGATAGGAATGAAGAAGCAAGCCACACCAGAGCACCCGCCAACCTCCCATGTCCACCTGGGTAGGAAAACCACTTTTCTCCTCTACAACTTATAACTTGTGGCCGTCTTGGATGATTTGAGCTGTATCTGTCAAAGCTATTCTAAATTTGTTGAAAGGTGAAAAATGAAATACACTACCGTTTTGATTCAATTGTTCTGTCTTGATGAGTTGAGGTTTTTTTTTTCTGTTTTGTTTTACAGTTACAATCAGAGGTCTCTTGGAATCCGATTTATTCGCAAGCTACAAGCTAGCAGGGGGAACAGAGAAGGAAACAATGCCTTTCTCGCAGTAAGTTTTTAGATATCTTAATGAAAGAGGAGCTATGATGTTGTGAATAGACTTTATTCTTCTTTATGTGGTTAAACTGGTTTTTCTTGTTTCTGGTTTTCTTGTTTCTGTGAAATATTTGTTCTTGTGTGAATGATTATGTGATTGGTGTAGAGTGCTCAGAGCTTATACTAGTATCGGATAGAGCGCTATATAAATGCAATCTATTATTATTATTATTATTATTATTATTATTATTATTATTATTATTATTATTATTATTATTATTGGGACAGGATCAGTTAACTGACTGAACATTAAAATTTTGTTGTTTTGCTTTTACAGAGTTCCTCATTTTAAAATCCTTTGCTTTCGTATTTCTAAATTCGTATAGCTGTGGTTCAAATAAGATGAGAAATGATTTTGTTTTTCTTGAATTTGTTTTTCATAATTCAATTATTCACCAAAAGTGTGCTTCATTTATTCAAGAATATTTAATGTGAAAGACTGAAACAAAGCATAAAAAATAATGTCTTTAAAGAAAATGCCTTACTCTGCTTAACCTTGCTTTGCAGAGTCAACAAAACAATTTATTAGAAATGCTTCATTTTCTTGTAACAATGACAATATACGACAGCCTTGGAATGGCAAATAGAAGAATTCTTTACAAGCATCAATTCTAAGTGCTGAGGTCTTTTCTTTTGACACTATTAATGGGAAGTACATGGTGCTCACTTTTTCCTTTTGCTGAGTTCTGCTTACCTCCCGGGGCAGGGCCACTGACCGAAGTGTCTTTAGGCCATTCCCAAAGGGGGGACATTTTTCGTTCAAGCACAGTAGAATTGCAAATGGGCTGATTCATGTCACACTCATAACTGTTCCTGATCTGCAACAGGGAGCTGCTGCTTTATCTTTCCTAATCCTTACAATTATCATTTTCCTCTACTTTTTTTGTATATTTGTCTCTCTCTTGTGACCCGCTATTTCCGGGGTGCCTTGATAGTCGAAGCAGACCTTGTGCTGTTGAAGCTAGAGAGGTGAGCAGAGGAAGTCTGATTCCCTGTAAGGACTTCTCTGTTGACACCCACCCCTTGGCGCTCATATGACCTTATGCAGTTTCAAGCGCTGTAAAACCCTCTACTAAAAAACAAAAAAAATGAGTTCTGCTTCT